TCTTTCAATACATGACACTAGAACAATTGGACATCAAAATGCAAGAAAAATAAATCTCAACCTATATCTGACACCACATTAGAAAATTAACTCAATACGGACCATAAGCCTAAATGTAAACCTGAAGCTATAAAACTTCTAGGTGAAAAAATAGGAGAAAATTGTATGAAATATTTTTGATCTGCAGTTGGTTGAATTCGCAGATGCAGAACCTCTGGGCCGGGCACGGTGGCTCACGCCTATAATCTCAGCACCTTGGGATGCCAATGCAGGTGGATCACTTGAGCTCAGGAGTTCCAGACCAGCCTGGCCAACATGGTGAAACCCCATCTCTACTGAAAATACAAAAGTTAGCCGGGCGTGGTGGCGGGCATATGTAATCCCAGCTACTTGGGAGGCCGAGGCAGGAGAATCGCTTGAACTCAGGACTGGGAGGTTGCCATGAGTCGAGATAGCGCCACTGCACTTCAGCCTGGGCGATAGAGTGAGACTCTGTCTCAAAAAAAAAAAAAAAAAAAAACAACCTGTGGATACAAAGGGATGATTATTTTCTTCCACTCCATGGCTTGTCTTTGTCTTGTCTTTTAAACATTTTTTTTTTTTTTATTTTACTTTAAGTTCTGGGATACACGTGCTGAACGTGCAGGTTTGTTACATAGGTATACATGTTCCATGGTGATTTGCTACACCCATCAACCTGTCACCTAGGTTTTAAGCCCTGCATGCATTATTTGTTCTATTGCTCTAAACTTTTTAAAATTAATATTTAATATTTTAATTGTTTTCTTCTTTTTCCCCACTAATGGACTGAGGTCACATGTTTATTTTCTTGACATTGCCATTTGAAAAGCAGAAGTTTTATATTTTGATAATGGCTAATTTATCTTTGTTTCTTTTATAACTTGTGATTTTTGTGATAAAACTTAAACAAATTTTTTTCTTATCAAAAGATCACAGTGATTTTCTCCTATGTTTTCACTTAGAAGTTTTATAGTTTCGGGTTTACATTTAGGCTTATGGTCCACATTGAGTGAATTTTTTAATGTGGTTTGAGGTATAGGCTGAGATTTATTCTCCTTGCATTAGGATATCCAATTTTTCTACTGTCATTTATTGAAAGACAGTCCTATCTCTACTGAACTATTTTGAGCATTTGTTGAAAAGCAGTATACATATCGGTCAATTCCTGGACTCTCCTATTTCATTGGTCCATTGAAACCCTTATTTCAACACTACACTGTCTCAATTACTCTAGCTTTGTAGTAAATCTGGGAGTTATGTAGTGAGTCTTCAAACTATTTTCTTCTTCAAAAAATTTTAAACCACTCTAGGATCTTTATGTTCCCATGTAAATTTTAGAATAAGTTTCCTCATTTCATCATAAACCTTTCTGAAATTGATTGCTTTAAATCTATAGATCAATTTGCAGAAAATTGATGTCTTAAAACACTGAATTTTGCAATCAATAAATATAGTTCATTTCTCCATTTATTTCTCTTATTAGGTGCTTTGTGGCTTTTCTCATACAAATTTTTCACATAAAAATGCTATCCCTAAATACTTCGTGCTTTCTCATGTTATAGTACGTGATACTTTTAAAATAATGTCATGGCCGGGCGCGGTGGCTCAAGCCTGTAATCCCAGCACTTTGGGAGGCCGAGACGGGCGGATCACGAGGTCAGGAGATCGAGACCATCCATTCTGCCCGAACGACGGTGAAACCCCGATCTCACTAAAAAAAGACACAAAAAAAACAGAACTAGACGGACGCCGACGGTGGCGGCGACCCTCGTACAGTCCAGCTACGTCGCTGAGCGGCTGGGAAGGCCAAGCGAAGCAAAAATGGCCCGTCCGGGGAAGGCGGGACCCTCGCCTGCCAAATGAGGCCGGTGAATCCTACTGCGCGCCCCACTGTAACTCCAGGGGCGACAGAGCGAGACTTCCGTCCCAAAAAAAACAAAAAAAAATCAAACGTTTAAAAAATAAGATAAAAAACAATTAACATAACTGTTCAGTTCCAAGCCATCGGTCAGCGCGTGCAAATAATAAGTGCATTGTCCTTTTTAAAACCCTGTAAACACGAGAGAGTTGTGAATTCTTTCCCACATAACTTCTCCATTCAGATAATACACAACTTTGTTACGACAATAAATTTTACATTTATCTTCCCAGATTCCACAAACATTTAGCCGAGACACGCCGGCGATAACTCACACCGTAAAAAAAAACACCACGAGTACCCCAACCCAGCCTCACAACACAGTTGGGGGTAGTCCAAAGGCAAATTGTCACCAATGATGTCCGAAAGTTTGAGAACGCGGCCTGACCAAAACACAAAATTGTGAAACGCTTCTCACTACCTGGAAAAACGACAAAAAAGACTTTCAGCCCAGAACAGGTGGCACAGCTATGACACTGGCGCGAAGGCTTACTACCTCATAGGAAGGCTGAGCAGCGGGAAGAACTGCTTTGACCGTGGGACGGCCTGCAAGGTTATTGACCGCAGCACGTACGCCATTCAACTCCGCCTGGGCCCCAACCAAGAGCATAAAAGAACCCGTCCTTCCCAAGGAAAAAAAAATAAACGAAAGCAAATTCCTAACGTTGGGGAACAGTGCTCATGCTTTGTAATCCCAAGCACAACTTCACACTTGGGGTGACGCGTGAAAATTCCCCCCCGAGGTCAGCCGCGACAAGTTTCAGACCCAACTGAAACATTCGGAGAACCCCATCCAGTTTTACTAAAAAACCAACAATGACCTGGTGTTGGTGTAGCAAAGCGCACGCCCCTGTTAACCCCAGCTACGTCGGAACATGGGACTGAGACACGGAGAAACCTGAATACCGGCCGGGAAAGCCAGCCGAGTGTTCGGGACGCGAGAGATTCCAGCCACTGCCCCTAAAAGCCCTGGGACCAACAAAAAGTTGAAACCTCCATCCAAAAAAAGACAGAGAATCCTTACCTGGCAGTATTATTATTCGTTCCCCATTTAACATACAGAAAGCGTTTATTATTATAAGTGCTTTCCTTAAATTAAGCATGAGAGCATTCTATTCTCCACATCAAGAACATTCTTTTTAAAATTACTCATTTTAGTTTAGATTCGG